TGCTCCAGGTGTTGGTGAGGCTGCTGCTCCAGGTGTTGGTGAGTCTGCTCTCTCTGGTACTGCGACTGCTGAGGCCTTGTGCACCTTCACACTTGACTCATATGCTTCCCGCTCCTTCTTTTGCGACAGCACCACCCTCACGCCGCTCAGTCGGTCGGTTGCACTCTCCCTGGCAGACCCCTCTGGGGGTCCTGTCCTTGCGACCTCCACCACTGCCCTCCCTTGTCCTGCTGTCCCGTCCGGCACACTGTCGGGCCTTTACCTCCACTTGTTCTCTACAAACTTGGTGGCGGGTTTTGCGCTCCAGGACGCGGGTGTTCACCAGTTCACCCCTGCCTATGAGCGTGTGACACACTGCACGTGTGCTCAGACGGGTCGTCACCTGGCTATCTTCACTCGGCGGCCGGGGTCGGGCCTGTACACACAGACCACTGAGTCCCCTTAGGTAGATACGTCTGCGTCTGCGTCAGGTCGCTTGTCGGCCCCCTGCTCGTGTCGCGCCTTGTCGCACTGGACGGTCCTCTGGCCCCACCGCCTTGGTCACCCTTCGATGCAGCGCCTTTGTGGCATGCACTCCTGTTACCTTGTCTCTGGTCTTCCCAGGGTTCTCCCTCCCCTCCCACCCTCGTCGGCTCCTCCCTGTCTTCCCTGTGTCGAGGGGCGGCATCGCGCCGCTCCTCACTCCTCCTCGTTTCCCCCAACAACTGCTCCCCTGCAGACCCTGCACATGGACGTGTGGGGCTTAGCCCGCGTCAGTGGGCAGGACCGCAAGCGGTACTTCCTGCTGGTTGTTGACGACTACTCGCCTTACACCACAGTCTTCCCCTTGCGCACCAAGGGTGAGGTCCTTGATGTTTTGATCCCTTGGATCCGCGCTGCCCATCTCCAGCTCCGCGAGCGGTTCGAGACGGAGTTTCCCATCCTGCGTCTGCAGTCTGACAGAGGTGGGGAGTTTTCCTCTGACCTCTTGCGAGCCTACTGTGAGGAGCACGGCATTGCGGCTTACGGCCTCTCCGCAGCAGAATGGGTTTGGTGAGCGCCGCATTGGCTTGGTCATGGAGGTCGCTTATACCTCCATGGTCCATGAGGCTGCCCCCCATTTTCTGTGGCCGTTTGCGGTCCGCTACGCCGCGCATCAGCTCAACCTCTGGCCCCGTGTCTCCTTGCCATAACTTCGCCCACACTGCGGTGGACTGGGGAGGTTGGCGATGCGTCGGTGTTCCGGGTCTGGGGTTCTCGTGCCTTTGTCCACGATACCACCGCAGACAAGCTCTCCTCATGCGCTGTTCCCTGTGTCTTCCTTGGCTTTGTCCCTGACGCGCCTGGTTGGCAGTTTTACCACCCCACCTCGCGCCGTGTCTTCCCCTCTCAAGACGTCACGTTTGACGAGTCGGTTCCCTTTTACCGTCTCTTCCCCTACCGCACTGCCCCTCTCCCCCCTCCGCCGCTCTTCTTCGCTCCAAGTGCTCCCCAGGTAGACCCCCTCCCCGCTCCCATTCCTGCTCCTTCAGGTGTGTCTCGGGTAGACCCTCCTCCCTTGACTGCGCCGGTTGAGGTCACTGGTGACTCAGGTCCTGCTGAGGGTGGTCCTGCTCGGGGTGCTGCTTCTGGGGGTGTTGAGCCTGGGGGTGCGGACCCTGGGGGTGCTGAGCCTGGGGGTGTGGAGCCTGGGGGTGCGGAGCCTGGAGGTGCTTAGCCTGAGTGTGAGGATTCTGGGGGTGCTGAGCCTGGGGGTACTGAGTATGGGGTTGCTGCACCTGGGGGCGCTGAGGCGTCTAGTGGGCAGTCTCCCTGGAGCGGCCGTCTCCGTAGTCGCTCCGCTCGTGCCTCGCCGCTGCACTCTCGTCGTCGGCTCCCTCTCTCCCCACAGCAGCTGCGTGGGTGGTACATTGGCCGTTAGGGTCGCGCTGCTGGAGCTAGGGGCCCTGCTGCAGGAGGCGCTGGAGCTGGTGACTCTGCTACTAGAGTTGTTTCTACTGGAGGTTTTGGAGCTTCTGGGGGTGCTGGCGCTGGAGGTGCTAGAGCTGCTGGAGGTGCTGGCGCTGGTGGCGCTGGAGCCGGAGGTTCTGGAGCTGCTGAGGGTACTAGCGCTGGAGGTTCTGGAGCTGCTGTGGGTGCTGGCACTGGAGGTTCTGGAGCTGCTGCGGGTGCTGGCACTGAGGGTTCTGAGTCTGCTCTTGCGCGGTCTCCTTGGAGTAGCCGCCTTTGTCCGCGTGTGCCTCTCACCTCACAACAGCTGCACGACTGGCACGGTCCCCGTCAGGGTCGCACTTCTGGAGCTCGGGGCTCTGCCGCTGGAGGTACTTCTGCTGACGTCACAGGAGTTGGGAGTGGTGCTCGTACTGGAGGTACTGGAGCTGCTGGGGCTGGAGGTGCTGGTTCTGGGGGTGTTGATGCTGGTGGAGCTGGTCTTGGAGGAGCTGGCGCTGAGGGTTCTGGAGCTGCTTGAGGTGCTGGAGCTGCTGGGGATACTGGAGCTGCAGGTGCTGGTGGCACTGCACAGCCGTGCTTGTTCTTTGCTCCACCGTCTCCGTCGTCTTAGCCACCGCCTGACTCTATGCTTCGCCATGTTCTAAGTCTCCCTTCGTCTACTGGTCTTCCGTTACAGCCTCGCTCACCCGTGCCTGCTCCTTCTCCTTACACTGAGCAAATAGGGGGTCTTACTGAGCGTCGTGAGCCTGCGTCGCGTCCTGTCTCGCCTGTCCGTTCTGGTCATTTCGGTCGTAGTGTTCCTCGTTCGCGTCAGCCGGCTGTCCCCGGCACCCACCTTGTAGTCCGTCGTCCTTCCTCTCCTCCGCAGCGCGTTCCCCTACCGTCCCCTCCTGCGTCTTCTATGCCTACCATTCCTGAGCTTGAGTCTAACCACACCCGTGCTACTCACCCTACTGTCACGCGTCTGCTAGCCACAGTTGTCACTGACCCGTCATTTGAATCTGCTGCTGTCTCTGCCTTCGTCGCTGAGCTTGTTGACTTTGCTGCTGCCTGTCGTCTAGACTACGCCGTTAGTCTTGTTGCTGAGTCTGAGTCTGTCTGTCCTCCGTCCGTCGGGGGTGAGTGTGCTCTTAGCACGGACGTCCTTGAGGACAGGCAGGAGGACCTTGAGTGTCTTGCAGCCGCTGCGCCTCTTCTCGTGTCCATGCTACTTGCCCCTGAGGGAGACCCAGATGCTCCACGCATCCTGACCCCGCGCTCTTACGCTGAGGCGATCGTGAGTGAGTACTCCTCTCAGTGGCAGACATCCATGGACGCAGCGATGGCATCCTGGAAGTCCACAAGCACTTACGTCGACGAGGTTCCCCCTCATGGGGCGAACATCATCAGTGGCATGTGGATATTCAGGGTGAAGCGGCCGCCAGGTTCTCCGCCTGTCTTCAAGGCTCGTTACGTTGCTCGAGGCTTCAGTCAGCGAGAGGGAGTTGACTTATTCCAGACCTTCTCCCCCACCCCGAAGATGACCACTCTTCGTGTGCTGCTGCACGTTGCCGCTCAGCGTGACTACGAGCTTAACTCTCTTGACTTCAGCACAGCTTTCTTACAGGGCAGCCTGCACGAGGAGATCTGGCTGCGCCGCCCTCCTGACTTCACTGGGTCGTTCCCTCCTGGTACCCAGTGGATCCTCCGACGGCCGGTCTACGGTCGCCGCCAGGCGCCACGTGAGTGGCACGACACAGTGATGACGACACTTGTTGCTCTTGGGTTTGCTCCGTCGACTGTTGACCCGTCGTTGTTTCTGCACACCGACACTTCGCTGCCGCCGTTCTACATCCTTGTGTACGTCGACGACTTGGTCTTTGCCACTGCTGACACTGAGGCTCTCGCCCTGGTGAAGTTGGAGCTGCAGAAGAGACACACGTGCACAGACTTGGGTGAGCTGCGCAGTTACCTTGGCTTGCAGATCACCCAGGACAGAGCACGCCGCACTATCACACTGACTCGGTCACACATGGTGCAGTAGGTCCTTCAGCGCTTCGGCTTCACCTGGTCCTCGCCACAGCACACTCCTCTGGCTACAAGTCACTCGCTCTCAGCTCCACCTTCGGACGAGTCCGTAGAGCCAAGTGGTCGTTACCCAGAGCTAGTGGGCTGCCTCATGTACCTGATGACCTGCACTCGTCCTGACCTTGCGTACCCTCTTGGCCTTCTGGCTCGCTACGTGGCTCCTGGTAGGCACCGAGAGGAGCACATGGATGCTGCAAAGAGGGTACTGCGCTACTTGTGCAGTACATCGGGCATGGGGCTTGTGCTTGGAGGGTGGAGCCCAGTTGTCGTCACCGCGCACTCGGACGCTTCTTGGGTTGACGACCTTGCTACGCAGCGGTCGTCACAGGGTTACACCTTCAGCCTTGGCTCTGGCTCTGTTTCTTGGCGTTCGACACGCTCGTCTTCAGTTCTCAGCTCTAGTTGTGAGGCTGAGATCTACTCCACAGCCATGGCTGCACAGGAGTTGCGCTGGCTCACCTACCTGCTGAACGACCTAGGAGAGCGACCTCGTTCTCCTCCAGTGCTGTACGTTGACAACAAGGCCGCCATTGCCTTGTGTCAGGAGCACAGACTGGAGCACAGAACGAAGCACATCGCTCTGCGTTACTTCCTGGCGAGTTGCAGCAGTGTGGTCAGCTTCGTCTTGTTCACGTGGCCATTCGGGCCAACTTTGCTGATATATTCACCAAGGCACTTCCGTCTGGTGATCATCATCGTTTCTGCACTTTGTTAGGCCTTGTGCCCACTTTTCCTCACTTGCTGTGGACTCTGCTTGTACTGTGATTTATATATATAGGTGCATGCCTGCTCTGCTAGGTAGAGATCACTGTGTTGTTGTTGTTGCATATGTACCTCTGCATGTGAACTGACCTTGTGGCCCTTTGCTTGTGCTCACTGTGTGTGGTGACATTGTGATGCACCCTGAGCTTGTTTTGCTTCTCTCGACTGGTCTTGCGACCCCTTGCTCTCCCCCACTTTGCCTATGGGGGTGTGTCAAATGATATATGTGCTATATATGTTTAGGCTGTAGTGGGATAGCCAATATGGGGTACAGCCCCTTTTAGGGTTTCATATTTGTACCCACCTGTTTCATAGTTCATTCCGACTGCTAGATTCTGACATCAAGATTATACTTATATTGTTTCTAGAGCTGACTTGCTTCGACACTGAGAAACATGTGGCCTTGATTGTACAGTAATACTAGGATATCCAGACAACAAGAACCCTAATAACGAACAAGAATTTTGCAGTGTTGGGCATGTTAACATGTGGAAAAGATTGGGGTGAAAATATCAGATCAGACATGTGTAGCGTTACGATCAGTGTATGAGGGCAGCCTACTCACGCGCCTAGCACTCCACCACATCATCATCAGAGCTGCCCCCATCCACCTCCACCACATCCTCCCCCTGCCGCTTCCTTGCCCCTGTCTCCCCATCTTCCCCTGCACTCTCCTCTTCCACTCCTCTCCTCCCTCTCCCTCTCCCTCTCCCCCTCCCCGTTCCTCTCCCCCTCCCCCTCCCCCTCCCTCGCCCCCTTCCACCTGCCCCCCTCCCTGCACCGGCACCGTCCCCCTGCTGCTGGTGGCAGCGCATGCGCCTCAGCATGCCGCGCAGCTCCTCCACGTCGCCGCCCGCCTCTCCCGCCTGTCAGTGGCGCACACGGGGTCGGGGGCGGGAGGAGGGTGGGTGTGGGGGGGGAAGGGGATGGGGGGGGAGAGAAGGGGATGGCGGGTGGGATGGGCTTGAGGGGCGGGAGGGGGGCGAGGGCCAAGAGAGGGGAGAGGATAAGAAACAGTGGCGGCAATGTTGGGAGGGTGTGTTTAGCGCAGGGAACAGAGTGAGACAGGCGTGGGGAAGATGGGATGACGAGAGCACAGCAGTAGGGGGGATGAGGGGCACAGAGATACCTGCACTCATCTAACACCACTTCCCTCTGCAAGGCTTGAACCTCCAATATCATCCACCAGCAACCCCATCCACCAGCAACCCCATCCACCAGCAACCCCATCCACCAGCAACCCCACGCACCACAGCACAGAACCACCTGCCCTCCCATCATACTGCGCCCTTCTTTCCCCTCCCCCTGCGCACCAGCATGTCTCGCAGCGTTGCCTGGTCCAAGTCAGGGTGGGCCCGCATCACTTCCTGCAACCCCTCAGGGACGCCTGCCAGCGAGCTGCACGCCACCAGTGCCGCTGCTGCTGACGCCTTTCCTGCTGCCGCCCGCTCTGTTTCTGCCCTTTCCACTGCCGTGCCCACTGCTGCCATCCCCTTTGCTGCTGCGCCCTGTGCTGCTGCATCCGCCGGTGCCGATGCTGTGGTCACACCAGCAACGCCACCTGAAGTGGGACTCAACGCACCTACCACTCCCCCAGTCTTACTGCCATCCACTCCACCTTCCCTTCCCCCGTCCACCTCTGCCTGCGCGCCCTTGCCCTTCCCCTCACCCGCTCCTCCTGTGCTCCCCGCAGCACCAATCGCATCCAACGCTTGCACTCCCTTGCTCCGCCCCTCTTCCTTCACCCCCTCCTCTCCTGCACCTTCGATGTTTCCTTCACGCTCCTTCCCTTCGGCCTGCCCTTTGCTGTCCTTCTCCTCATCCTCCGCGTTGTTCTCATCCGCTTCATCCTCCTCTCCCTCTGCTCCCTCCTCCCCATCCTCCTCACCGCCCTCCCCTGCGTCCTCCCCCTCCTCTGCATCTGGTGCATTCGTCTCTGCGAGCAGCATGGCGATCAAATCCGCCATGTCGTGGTTCACCTGCCGTCATGGAAGGAGGGGGTGAGGTGGGGGTGCAAGGGGCAAGGGGCAAGAGAGAGCGTGTGGGAGCGCGTGTCTCTGCGAGCAGAATGGCAATCAGGTCTGCCATATCTTGATTGACCTGCCGCCAGGCAGGGGTCCAAGGGGGGAATGTGAGAAGAATGCGGCGATTGCAAGAGGGAGCGTGTGGGAGAGGGCATGAGATTGCGACAGTGCAACAGAGAGAATTCACGGAGAGGACAGAGCTGGGTTGTTTGAGCAGAGGAGCGATGCTGCAAAGGCGGTTGGACACGAGGGAGAATAAGAATTGCTAAAACATCGTTCCCCATGCCTGCCTGTCTCGCAAAGCCTCACAATCTCACCTGAACCCATCGTGCTCTCTCCTGCACCTGCCCCTCAAACCCCTTCCCTCACCTGGAAGCAGGTGAGCACGTCAGAATGGCAGCGGGGCAGTGAGCAGCAGGGCAGTGAGCAGCGGGGCAGTGAGCAGCGGGGCAGTGAGCAGCGGGGCAGTGAGCAGCGGGGCAGTGAGCAGCGGGGCAGTGAGCAGCGGGGCAGTGAGCAGCGGGGCAGTGAGCAGCGGGGCAGTGAGCAGCGGGGCAGTGAGCAGCGGGGCAGTGAGCAGCGGGGCAGTGAGCAGCGGGGCAGTGCTTCCCCATCGTGTGTGCTCGCACGCACCCGACCACCTTTTCACACACCCCAATGGCCACCTCGTGAGTACCTTACCCCCCACCCTCACCTGCAGCCGGGACAGCACGTCTGCAATGTCAGCGGTGCAGCGCGTGGCGGGGCACTGTTTGACGATCTTCTGTGCTCGCAACGACCGCCCCGCGGTCTTGGAGCGGTCGCGTGTGTCGGCCTGCCCGTGGAAGCGCTGCTGCAGGCACGCGAGGCAGAAGCTGTGCTGGCAGGGCGTGGACACCGGGTCACGCAGCACTCCCCCACACAGCAGACACGCGAAGTCTGGCGGGGGGAAGTGGGTGGGGAGGATGAAGAGGGAGGTTTGGGTGTGGCTGGGTGGTGGAGGAGTGAGATGGAGAGGTTTGTGAGGAGCGTTACTGCGTCTTTGAGTGCCCTCGATTCTATACACTTCTGGCGATTTACCAGAAGATAACTTGTACTATGTCAAGAAGAGCAGGGGAGAAGCAGCAGCGGCAGCAGCCCTACCTCCTCGTAGGCTTTGGAAGACGCCGAGAAGATTTCGTTCAACTTTCCTGTGGCTAGCATGCCTGAGCAGACCTGCTATTGTTAGTTACCACTTTCTACCGCTTTAACGGCAAAATACGGATTGCACTCAACCGCTCAGCGGCGACTGCTCAACCAAAGCTGAAGGCAACCACACGGCAAAAAAGTGTCCACATGTTACCAGATCTGAAGTGTGACAGGTGTGCAAAGAAAGCTCCAGACGGCTCGGAAAATGTTTTGAGGCATTTGACTTCTGAACCTCCGTAGGAATGTTTTGAGGCATTTGACTTCTGAACCTCCGTAGGAATGTTTTGAGGCATTTGACTTCTGAACCTCCGTAGGAATGTTTTGAGGCATTTGACTTCTGAACCTCCGTAGGAATGTTTTGAGGCATTTGACTTCTGAACCTCCGTAGGAATGTTTTTAGGCATTTGACTTCTGAACCTCCGTAGGAATGTTTTGAGGCATTTGACTTCTGAACCTCCGTAGGAATGTTTTGAGGCATTTGACTTCTGAACCTCCGTAGGAATGTTTTGAGGCATTTGACTTCTGAACCTCCGTAGGAATGTTTTGAGGCATTTGACTTCTGAACCTCCGTAGGAATATTTTGAGGCATTTGACTTCTGAACCTCCGTAGGAATGTTTTGAGGCATTTGACTTCTGAACCTCCGTAGGAATGTTTTGAGGCATTTGACTTCTGAACCTCCGTAGGAATCTGCGAGGGTGCGGTAGACACTACCTAAGCCCTCTAGCTCCGGTTACAACCGACCGTGTCTTTGCGTTGTGTAATGCACTTTCACCCACCAAAGAAAAAAAACTTCTGACGCCTTTTACCATAAGCAACAGCAACTCCGCCTTACCAGCAGGCACAGCCCACAGCACCCTCTCATCTCCCAGAGCCTGCCACACCTTTGGCGAGTCTCTTCTGCGCCAGCGCCCTCCGCTTCTTCACGGCCTCGCCCGTGCTGCCCACCGCGAGGCGCTTGGCGGAGCGCCATGCTGTGCTGGTGCCACCGATGGGCTTGGTGCATGCTGGGGGCGCGCGCACCCACCCCCACTGCTGCTTCTCCTCCTGTGGACGCGGGAGTGAGAGCACGGGAGGAACAGCCTTGAGTGTGCACCGTTTACCGCCAAACCAGCTCGAGACTGGTTGACTTGGCTTGTGAGGGGGGGCTTGCCGAATGTGGGTGATTCTTCGGTTTGGCTCGTGCTTGAGTGCATCGCGGTCACACGCATCAAGCACGCATCAAGCATGCGTGTTCATCCCAACAAAGAAACATTAGCAGCTGTCACCCCGTGCCACTCACAAGCAAGCCCCGCACGCGCCGCTCACAAGTCACTCCAAATTGTGCCACTCATCCCGCACCCATAGACACCCACCCACACACATCAACGCACTCACAATCCAGTCCCAGGCGGGCGGGCCGGTGCGCTCTGTGACGTCCACTGCCTGCTTCAACTCCGCCACCTGCGGCAGCTTCCTCCCCGGGCTGTCCCCCACGTCGTCACTGGGGAAAGAGGAGTGGGGGGGAGTGCGAGGGGAGAGAAGCGCGGTTGTGTTTAGAGAAAGGGAGGAAAGATGCTGCGTGACGTTTCGAATGGGAGAGGTTAACGAAGTGATGGGGAATTGAGCAGGAGAGTGCTGTGAGGGACACGAGGGCCAAGCGGGCCACACGGGAGAGAATGGATGGCCAGAGCTGCTTGGCGCGCACTGAGTGTGATGGGCCTGTCAGTGCCTGGTCTGGGGGGTACCTACCTGGTATGGGCTGAGGAGAGGGGTACGGACCTGGTATGGGCGGTAGAGGGGTACGGACCTGGTCCAGGGGGCGGGCGAGTTGTCACAGCGCACGAAGAGGTAGCGACACACGAGGAAGCCCTGCAGGTGGGGGGGTGTTGCAGCAGCAGGGGAGGACAGAGGCGCTGCTCATTCCTCTCGCACTTGCGCTTGCGATAACACCCACGAACCCAAGTGACTTCCCTTCCGCTCCTACTCATGGCGACCCTGCTTTCGCCCTCAACACGGTGCTCTCACCATTTCAACACGGTGCTCTCACCATTTCAACACGGTGCTCTCACCATTTCAACACGGTGCTCTCACCATTTCAACACGGTGCTCTCACCATTTCAACACATGGCCCCTTCCGACGCTTTCTCACCACGACTCTCTTCCCTTCCCCCTCCCCTCTCCCTCCCTTCCCCCTCCCCTCTCCCTCCCTTCCCCCTCCCCTCTCCCTCCCTTCCCCCTTTCCTCACCACTTTACTCTTCTTGCGCCAGCAGCGCTCGATGCGGTAGACGCCGTCGTACCGCACGCCTGCCTGGGGTGCATAGCTGGACCGCCGCTCCTTCTCCGACCTGCAGCGCGGGCGCAGTGACGCATGCGTGCGGGATGCGACGGGACGTCATGCGATGTGGTTGGCGGAGAGGTGTGCGCATTGGAGAGGGTTAGACGGCAGTCACAGGGGAATGCACTTGCGCGGGAGGAGAGAGGATGGAAATGCAGCGGGAGGGGAGGGGAAGGATCTCAAGACGGGATGCACAGGTGGTTGCATGCAACATACCGCACAGATGCATGCACGCACGCTCACACACGCACACACACAGATACAAGCACACACGCACGCACGCATTCGAGCATGACCGCACCCCAGGCGCAGCCATGCATGCAAGAGGGACGACACGCGCAAGCAGAGCGGCGCACCTGACGACGCGCACGGGGTAGCCCTTGAGGCAGCTGAGCCTGAGCGCCTGGTTGCTCTTCTCAAAGCGCTGGTCGAACGCGTGCACCTTGTTGGTGCGCTTGTTGCCGCTCAGATCCCGCCCCCCACTGCGCCACATGATGGAAAGGACGGGGGATCGTTGGGGGATAGGAGGGTCAGGGGAAGTGAATGGAGAGACGGGGCAGCAATGGAGAAGGGTAAGTGGCGGGGAACATGCATGAACCTTGAACGCATGCCTATTCCCATCTGCGCCATGTGTTGCCTCCCCCCTCTCCTCTCCTCTCCTCTTCTCTCCTCTCATTTCCCCCCCCCCGCCTCCCCCCTCTCCTCTCCTCCCCTCTCCTCTCCCTTCCTCTGAACCCTGCTAACGACTACCCACCTGCCAGTGTAGAGGAACCACTCGCCGTTGTCCTCGTCATCCTCATAACCCCCCGACAGCGCCACTGACTGCGCGCCATGGTGGGACTGCCCCGCGATGCCTGCCACGTGCGGCAGGTGCGCGCCCCACTGCCGGCACTCCAGCCGACTCGCCCACGTCTCGCCCACCTCCACGCCCGTCCCCCTCTCCGGATCGTACTCCGCCGTGATTGGCCCGAAAAAATCCCCCGCTATAGTCACAAATATGCGGCCCGAGGCGGCGTTAGAGAGCCCCTTCCGCACGGCGCGATCCGTGGTGAACGCCTGATCGGGCCGCTTCTCGTTGCAGATTGGCTCGTACGGCTTCGCTGGTGCTGACGTGGACAGCCCGCCGGCGGCCGCGCGGGCGGCGGCGGCCTTGGCGTGGCGGATGGCGGCGACGATGACGGGGTTGATGCGCGGCTGCTTCATCATGTCGGGCGGCACCGCGCGGCGGCACTTGGCGCAGCTGCGCTTACCCTGCGCCAGCCACTTGCGGAAACACACGAGGCAGAAGTTGTGGCCGCAGGGGGTCTGGCGGGCATTGGGGGGAGAAAGATGGGGGAAAGGGGAGTTGAGGGGGCATGAGGAGAGAATGGACGAACGGGGGGAAAAGGGATGAAGAGAGGCGGGCGGCGGGGGGAATGAGTGACGAGCGCAGCTATGGAAGCACGAGGGCAATGAGGAGGGTCGCACGGTGACGGGGAGGGAAGGGTGGAGGGAGGTCGCACGGTGACGGGGAGGGAAGGGTGGAGGGAGGTCGCACGGTGACGGGGAGGGAAGGGTGGAGGGAGGTCGCACGGTGACGGGGAGGGAAGGGTGGAGGGAGGTCGCACGGTGACGGGGAGGGAAGGGTGGAGGGAGGTCGCACGGTGACGGGGAGGGAAGGGTGGAGGGAGGTCGCACGGTGACGGGGAGGGAAGGGTGGAGGGAGGTCGCACGGTGACGGGGAGGGAAGGGTGGAGGGAGGTCGCACGGTGACGGGAAGGGAAGGGTGGAGGGAGGTCGCACGGTGACGGGGAGGGAAGGGTGGAGGGAGGTCGCACGGTGACGGGGAGGGAAGGGTGGAGGGAGGTCGCACGGTGACGGGGAGGGAAGGGTGGAGGGAGGTCGCACGGTGACGGGGCGGTCGACGAGGTCGTGGCAGATGGGGCACTTCATCGCCTCGCTGAAACACGCTGCCGCCGCCTCCGCCGCCTCTGCCGCGTTTACGCCCCGCGGCGTCGCACTCGCCCCGTCCGCGTGCGCCCCGCCGCCGCTCTCTCCCGCGCTCGTCGTCGCCTGGCGGCTCACGAGCGCCTGACGCTGCCTCGCCTTCTCCGCGTCGCTCAGCGACGAGTCGCTCTGGATCGCACGGATTCTCGCCCGCAGGTCGCTTTCGCCGACGTTACCCACAGTTGCCGCCGCAGCATCTGCCTCTCTCGGCGCTTCAGCTTCGCCGGCCGCCGCATCAGACGCGGCACGGCCGTCTCTGCCGCCGCCGTCGCCGCCAGGCGCGCGGTTCATCTCTGCCTCGACCTCGTGGCAGTCGGGGCAGTGCCACGTGCCGGCGGGTGCGGCGGTGAGGGGCGGCACGAGGCACGGCATGTGCCATTCGCCGCGGCACGCGTCGCACACGAGGACGCGGTCGTCGGGCGGCAGCGTGTTGCATTGCATGCACACGCCGTCCGTGCCGCACGACCGCAAAAGCACGGCTGGCGGCGCTGCTGCCGCCGGCATTGCTGGCGGCATTGCGCGTGAGGAAATTGGTTGGCGCTGAACGCTGCTGCTGCTGGCGACCACCGAATGCGGAACGCTGTTGCGATGCTAAGTGGGCTAGTGGTTTGAAGAGGTGTGATGTCCTGTGCAAGCTAGTTGAGAGCGGACGCCTTTTCTGGTTTTGCAAGCAGTCAGGTTGGAGTCTTGGGGGTTGCTCGATGCTTGCGTGCTTCGCGCACGAGAAAGACCTTGGGATGTAGATGGTGGGAGTGCCCCAGATGGATTTGGTTTTCGTCGAGTCGTGCGTGATTGGTGATCGAGGGGATATTTTGGCGGGAAGTTCAAAAGCATGAAGCAACAAAACTTGGCGTCACTCCCACGAGTCGGTAACACCCAAATTTCGAGATAGCCTAACTCCTTACTTTCTTAATCACTGCCTTTGTCATGCAGTTACCGAGTTTGCACTGATGCGTACAGCAATACCTTCCCTCCTCTCCCCTCCCCTCCCCTCCTGTGTTGCTTCTGACCTCTCACGTTCCTCCCACACCCTCCCGTCTCACGTCCCGCCGTCTTCTCTCCCTGCCGCCTCTTGTTTCTCCACTGCTCAAAGATTCGTGCCACGTACTCAAATCGCGCAAGCTACCACATCGCCAGCGGCGGAAGCTGCATGGCTTTCGTCCGGGCCGAGAGGCCGCCTTTCGCGTCGTGAACATGCGGAAAGTTTCGCGCGAATTTATGACTCTAGTCACTCTTCCGTAATTTTTTTTCGCGAGCAGCATGGCGAGCGAGCTGCCGATGCTGACGCGCAAGGAGCAGATCGACGCGTTCCTGTGGAACACCATCGATGCCGTGCTCGTGCTGCGCTTCGGCCACTCCGACGACCCCGCCTGCATGCAGCTCGATGACGTGGTGAGCCGTGATTGGCCGATGCTGGGGCGGCCGCCGCGAAGGTGCAAGCGACGGAAGGGGCCGTGGTGGTGCTGTTGATGGTACCCATGCTCGCGATGAGTGACAGAGTTGTGGCAGAGCATGAGTTGCTGGCGATGCGATGCTGTGCGGCAGCGCTGCATGGCCGTGCGCCCATGCGTTGCCCACTTGACCTCATCCCCGCTCTATCCCCACACCCTCCCCCTCGCCGCCCTTTCTCTGTCTCCACGCCCGCACTTGTCGCCGCCAATCACGGCTCGCCAGCTAACGCGGGCGGCGACGGACGTGAGCGGGTTCGCGCGGGCGGCGCTGGTGGACGTGAGGGCGGCGGGCGTGGCGGCGTACGTGGCGTGCCTGGACGTGCAGGTGCTGCCCGCGTGCGTGTTCTTCTTCAACGCCACGCACATCAAGATGGACTCGGGGTAAGAGGGGGGTGAGGTGAGAGCGCCTTGCAAGGGGGTGGCCGGCCAGGAGGGAGAGGGGGGGAGGTGGAGCAGGGGAATGGGTGAGCGTGAGCCGGGGGTGAGTGTTTTTCTTCAACGCAACGCACACAAGATGGATGCCAGGTGCGCAGGGAGTGTGCGCAAGTTGCAGGGAGGAGGAGGGGAGAGGCAAGGGTAGGGATGGTGGGCGTGAGGGGGGGGACATGAGTGTTCTTGTTCAACGCCCCGCATGTCAAGATTTCGCCGGGTGTGCAAGCGGGGAGCATGGGGTCTCGGGACAGGGAAGGAGAAAGGGAGAGTGGGGGGTTGCAATGGTGGTGGGAGAGTGGGTGCGGGGTGGGCGTGAGAGGGGGGTGCGTCTGATTCCCCGCCACGCCCGTCACGATGGGTGCCAGTTGACGTGTGGGACCAAGTGCTCTCATGGGCACGAGCACGGGCGGTGACGGGAGGTGAGCAGGGGCAGGAAATGAGCAGGGGGCGGGGCGTGTTGTGTGCATGCTTGGGACTTACCGTCCTTGTGACACGCAGGTCCTTGCTTGGCCATGCAACCGCGTGTCCTCTCTATTGCGTTGCTTACAATTCCCCGTCTGCCATTTGCTCCACCTCTCACCCCTCCCGCTACTGCTGCTGATCCCTCCTGCCCTGCCCCCCTGTCCTGCTCCCCTCCCCTCCCCTGCTGCCCCCTCTCCACCACTTCTCCCCCCCTGTGCGCCCCTCCCCATGCACACGCGCCCGGCAGCACGGCGGACCACAGCAAGTGGGTGGGGCCGTTCGCATGCAAGCAGGACTACATTGATGTCGTTGAGGTGCGGGGGGGAGGGGAAGAGGTGGGGGGAGAAGGAGGAATGGGGGGTGGTTGTGGGGGGTTACGTGGGGGGGCCTCTTTGCCAGCAAGTGGGTGGCGCCGCAAGCACTGCTACATTGACGTTGTGGAGGTGAGGCAGAGGGGGAAGAGGGCGGAGAGGGGACAGGGGCGAAGGACGGAATTGGGGGGAGGCGGGCTAGGGGGAGAAGGGAGGGAGGAGAGGAGGGACAGAAAGGGGAAAGGGGACTGGACGGTGGTTGTGAGGAGGTACGTTGGAGCAGTTAGGTTAGGGCGAATAGATGGATGTGGTGGGAAGGACGGGGGAGAGGGAACGGGAGGAGGGGTTTTGAGGGGGTTGGGATGGATGGGGCGAAGGAGCAGGGCGCAGGGGTAGCGGGGATACTGGGGATGGACAGGGCTCGTTGCAGTGCAAGCAGGGAGTGCTGCTGTTTGCATGCTGCTTTCTGCCTTCTGCACATCCCATGTGCATCCCATTGCCCACTCATGCACATCCACTCTTTGGCCTCTCCCCATGTTTCCGTTGTCCTATTTCTCCATTTTCCTCCAATTCTACTTTCTCTTCCCTATCCCTTCCTCTCCCCCCCCCCCCCCCCCCCCCCTCACCCCATCGCTCCCCCTCTTCCCATCCCTCCGTATCGCACCCTCGGGCAATAGACCATATACAGGGGAGCCATGAGGGGCAAGCTCATAGTCACATGCCCGCTGCCCAAAGACCGCATTCCCCACTACGATCTGCTTTATCAAGGCTTCTAGCTTATCCCCTGCTCACTCATCCGTGTTAGGGTACATTGCTGGCATGCGTTTCAAAAGCCTCGCCTCTCAAAAGACGGGTACACTTCTGTGGAAGCATTTGCTTGTTGAGTGTAATGTGGACACCGCCTCCTTCGATAATGTATCCTCTTAGGAAGGCATTTTCTTGAAATATGTACCATACTCTAGGGCATAATGTGGTAGTATTTAGTGCCTACACTACACTACACACCCTCGGATCTGACAAACAAGAAGACAAAGAAAAGCAAATTACACGGGCAGTGCTCAGGGCACAGCCTCAAAACCAACCGCCACACATGGTCAAGGCAAAAACACAGGTTCTGTTTGCCAATGGCAGCAGGCAGCAGAACTTTATATTCGAGTCAAGACTGCTGCTGCTGAGTGGAACAAAAGGAGACATGAACGACCCAGACCAGCTTGCACCGTGGCAATACCAGGAAGCCCGGGCGTGCGCTGTACTACCGTGACTAGGGTGGTAATGTAACACATGTATGCAAGGAGGGCACGGGTTGCCCTGAGGTGGGTAATGGTGTCCGTGTGGCGTGATCATGTTCACATGGTCACATGCGGTGAAATGTGGTGACACGCGGTGACATGTGATATCATGAGAAAATGTAGTAACACATGCCAAGTGCCCTGCTTGCAATGAGCGAACCCCGGCAGCAGTGACTGACAGCTGCTCTGTCTGCGGAGCAACCAAGCCTGCTGTGTCATGTCGGCGAATTGGAAGGAATGCAGTGCTCGTGGTTGTCTTGAGCCATGAGCCATGAGGGTGAGTGACAGTCGCGCCAACAACCCTGCCAGTGTTGGTTCAGCCCCCTGCACCGCGCACACTGCTGCCTGCCTCTGCTCTCCCTCATAAAACGTCATATGCATCTGCTTCTGTCTGTTATACCCCTCTCTCTCTCTCTCTCTCTCTCTCTCTCTCTCTCTCTCTCTCTCTCTCTCTCTCTCTCTCTCCATCTGCCTCTGCCTTTTTCTACCTCTGCATCCTCCGTTACACCCCAACCCCTCCCTGCTGCTGCTTCTCCCCATCCCCCTCCTCCTCACCCACCTCCCCATCACCGGCAGTTGCGCCACCAACCCGGTCCGAACTTAGGCCCGGCCACATAAGCCACGACAACGGTGATGTCATCCAGCTTGCCCCCATAGTACCGGTACCCCGCCTCCTGCGCTGCGCGCGCAAAGGGCGAGATGCGGATGCGGTCCTGCGCGCGCGTGCGTGCCAGCGTGGCGATGTGCTCCGCCGTGTGCTGTGGCTCGCGGCCCGCCAGCAGCGAGTGCATGACGGTGGAGGCGAGCTCGGAATCGAACACGTTGTCGAACAGCCCGTCCGTGCCCAGCACCACTACATCGCCCGCTGCCACCGGCAGGGAGAACACCTGTGAGTGGAGCGAGTAGGACGAGGGGAGGGCAGGAGGGTAGGAGGGCAGGAGGGCGGGGGGGAGGACGCATGGGACGAGGAGATGGGTGGTGGGGGTGAGCTTGAGGTGAAAAGCGTTTGGCAATCAGCATCGCGTGGGCGAGTGGCCTTCACGGATCAAACAAGGCATTTGAAAGGGCGGTGCAGAGGGCAGCTGTTCCCAGCACGACTACATCGCCCGCTGTTACTGGCAGGGAGAACACCTGTGCGGGGGTGGAAAAGGGGGGAGGTAGAGAGGAGGGGCGGCGGGAGGATGCACATGACGAGGAGTTGGGTGGGGGAGGTGGGAGAAAGGGCGGCTGGCAGATAGCATACCCGCGGCTTTGTGATTGCACTTGCGAGGGCGGGGGGAGAGGGTAGTGGGGCGGGCACACAGGAGGAGAGGAGCAAGTAGATAGTGCGCATGAGAGGAAAAGAAGGTTGTGTATCAAAGCAGTGGTTGATGGGCATAGGACGACGTGGGTGGGTGGTGGGCGATACAGCAAGTGCGGCAGGGCTGGCAGACAACACCGCGTGGGCAATAAGAGTGCCCTGGTGGAAAGCGTCTTTGGCGGATCCAATCCAATCCAATCCAATCCAACCCAATCCAAGCAAGTATGTGAGAGTGCACTGCAGTGGCTGGCTCTACAATCAGCGTAAGAGCCTGCAGCACCCATGTGTGCGTGCGCCGCTCACCTCTGCATTCATTCATGTGCACCACCCACCGCTCTGCACCACAGTGCACAGCTCACCCACCTCAGCGGCGGAGGGCGAGTCACCGCCGTCACTGCCGAGCTGGAAGGGGAAGTTGAAATCGTGCTGCTGCGAGGGCGACTTGAAGATGATGCGCCCATTGCGCACCACCACAAACCCACTGTCGCCCAGGTTCGCCGCCTGCAGCCGCTGCCAGGGGGAGAGGGGGAGAATAGGGGATGGTCGCAGAGAGGTGGAGGGGAGGGGCCAAGAAAAAGGTGGGAGGGGGTGACGGAGAGGAGCACAAGGAGGTGGTTTGGAGGGGGAGTAGGGGCAGAAAACACATAGAATAGAATCGAGAGAAGGGGTTTTGGGCAGTGGGTATGATCATGGAACTTGGACAGGGCACACAAAGAACATCGAGCACACAAAGAACATCGAGCACACACGGCTTGATGCATCCGCCTCTCACTGTGTCACGGCAACCCCTTCATCCCCCCATCCCCCCAAACCCTCCCTCCCTCCCTCCCCCCACTCCTCCCTCCCTCCCCCCACACCCCTCCCTTCCTCTTCCCCCCCACTCCCCTCCCTTTCTCAACCCACTCCTCTCCCTCCCTTCCCCCACTCCCCACCATCCCTCCCCCCACTCCTCTCCGTCAGCTGCTTACGTCAGCAGTGAGCACCACAACGCACGCGGTGCACGAGCCCTGGCTGCGCGTCTTGGCGTGCGCTGACGTCAGCACGCGGAGGGTGTCCGCGCACCCCTTGGGCTCGCGCCTGACGGCCGCCTGCACCTCCCCCATCAGCTCGCGCGCATACGCCCCCGCGTCCACCCCCACGTCCGCCCACCCGCCCACGCCGTCCGCCACCCCTGCCATGGCAGCGCGGAGGAAGGGCAGCGCGGGGAAAGGACAGCGCGGGGAAGGGCAGCGCGGGGAAAGCGCAGCGCGGCGGTAGGGCAGCGCGGGGAAAGGACAGCGCGGCGGAAGGCAGCGCGGGGAAAGGCAACGCGACGGAAGGCAGCGCGGGGAAAGGCAGCGCGGGGAAAGGCAGCGCGGGGAAAGGCAGCGCGGAGGAAGGGCAGCGCGGGGAAGGGCAGCGGAGACAGAGACGGCAGCGGGGGGAAAGGGGGGGGTGGGGGGGGCGGGAAGGGGGGAGACGGACTTGGTTAGGACGGCAGAGGGGCGCGAGCACGAACGAGAGGGTTGGAAAAAGAGCAGTGGAGGAGTAGGGATGGGATGGAGCACGACACAACAATGCAGCGAGAGCGGGGGAGTGAGGTGCGATGGGGAGGTGGGGCGTACGGTCAGCAATGTACTGAAGGTCAGAATAAATAAAGAATTTGATAAAGAACAAATAAGGAAAAAGTAAATGTTTGACCAGGTGATTGTTGGGGATCGCTGACGTAAGGAGGGAGAGGGTGGGAGGAAAGGGGAGAGAGAGGGCGGAGGGGAGGAGGTTTGCCGGCCTGTTGGGCTAGAAAGCGGTCAGAGCGGCTGGGAAAGAAGCGCTGACCTGAAACGGAAAGGAATGCTACAGGGAGCGGACCTAAGGCAGAAAGGGATGCTGAGGGAACGCACCTAAGGCGGAGACGTCGGGGAGGATGAAGAAGGCGTCTTCCCCGCCGCGGTCGAGCTTGTCGGGATGCGGCAGCACGCACGCGCCCGCCACCAGCCGCAGCGCCTCCTCCTCCTTCGCCGCCTCGGGGGCGCCGCTGCTGCCGCGCGCGCAGAAGCGGGGAGAGGGCAGCAGCGCAGCAGGGAGCACGATGGAAGAGGTAAGGGAAACGCACCCAGACAAGGCGAGAGAAGAAAAGCAAATAAACAACTAAAAACCACAGAACGATGGCGGAGCACGACATGACAGAGTTGCGGCCCCCAAGCGAAATGAAGGTGGTCATGAAATGTCCTGATCTGCTTTTATATATATAATTTTTTTTTACACGAGAGCTCTGTATCCTACAAATGGTGGGAGCAAGAATTGCGAGCGAGTATGGATCGGGCTAAGACGGCGCCGACCGACCTCTTATCGGCGTCGCCGTCGACAGGCCGCGAGCAGAAGGCGAGGCCGGGCACCTGCCCCAGCAGCTGCGCGTCGTGCAGGCGGCGCGTGATCACAGCCGCCGGCGGCGGCGCGCACGGCATCACGCGCCGCCACGTGCCGTAGGGCGCGGCGGAGGTGATCCTCGGCAGCGTCCATGCGGCGCGCGCGGAATCCGCCGCTCCGCCCGCCGATGCTCCGCCCGCCGGTCTGTTACCGCCGCCGTGCGCCAAGCACCACGGCGTCTCCTTCCCCGCGTTGAAATCCGGCGCGCACGGCGCGCCTAGCGACGCGAGGCACGTGGTGGCGATGGAGGTGGAGAGCGGCAGGAGCGGGCGCCATGAGGGGGAGAAGAACGCGGGGGAGGCGTGCGGGGAGGAGGAGCAGGGCGGCGTGCTGAGCGGCCAGATGGGGCTGGTGGTGGGCGTCGCGAGGCAGCGCGATATGGTCTCGCCCGCCGTCAACACCGGCTGCCGGCGCGCCTCATCTGCTGCTGCGCCTTCGATGCCGCTCTGGCATGCGGAGGGGGAGGAGGAGGCGGAGGATTGCGAGGACCGCGCGGGGGAGGCAGAGCACGACGTGGAGCCGCGAGTTTGACCTAACGTTGACCGGAGATTCGTTGACCTATGAAAGAAATTGACTGGCCTGGGAGGCATGCTTGAACGCACGCCCGAGCATAGACGCGAGAGGCACAGACAAAAAGATCCTATCGCCTAAGTCGTAATCGCGTCGCGACAATCTGACATTGACCCATGGTCGCTGAGGCCAACAGGCTCGAAATAGCTTAGTTAAGATTCCGCGGCGAAAATGGTAAATGCAAAGCTTGTGTAGGGGGCAAAACCAATAA